ACCCAATAATTTTTTATTAACATAATTTTCAATTAATATTATTAAAAATATATTTATTTGTCCCACTTAATTTGTCACATCTTTCTATTTCTATTAGTTCCATTTTTTTAAAAATATAATTATACATTTTAATCACATTTTAAAATTTATAATTCATAATCTTTTTATTTTAATTAAATTGTTTAGTCGTATTAATCTTAATCTATAATTATTTTTATTAAATTATAATTATTTTTATTAATATACTTTTTAATTATTTACTAATTACACAATACCTAAAACTCTGTGTCTAAATTAAATGAGACAATTTAGCTCAAGGAAGGAAGTAATATATATACATATATTATACATAATATAATATATACTATTATTCATTTAAAAAAGAATTATTATTATTAAACACAAAACTATAGTTTCAAACAAACAAATTAATTAATTAATTAATTTTTTAAAAATAATATATTTACATTAATAGCAATAAATAAGTTAAGGACACTGTTATTTAGATAGTATAATTATTAGATTATTATTAATGTTATAATATTATTTTTCAATATTAGTAGTATTGTTAGTATTTTAAATATTTCTAACATTATATCTAATAAAATATATACAATTTGGATCTCATTTTGTACATAATAAAATTTATATAATACATATAAATAAAAATATATATATTTAATTATGATTAACTTAAAACTAATTTTATAAAAAATAAAAAATTTTAAATATGGATAAGATATTTATTTATTGTAGAAAGATATAAAAATAAAGTGATTTTGAATTAGTCCTACTTATAAAGGATTATAAATATAATTAAATTAATTTATATTTATTAATCTGATTAAAATGAATAGATTTATTAAAAATAAAAAATAAAAATATTTTTTTAGAACGAAGAAAAAAAAAAGGGTCATGGCCAATCAATAGAGTATATAGAATGTTTTGCATGGTACAATGTTGCACTATAAATAACTCTAATATGTATATTTTTATTATATTTATCATAAAATGCAAATCAAATAACTTTTTTTTTTCTTTTTTTTAAGTTAACATTGTACTAAATTTTAAAATATTAAAATTTTGACAAAAAATTTTAAGTTAACATTGTATTTCACTAATGAACATATGAACAAAAATATTAAAATTTTGACAAAAAATAGCAATGCTATACACAGATGACACAAGAAGTTCTTGATTGAGTTACAATTAAAAAAACTTAAATGATAGCAATGAATATTCATCTAAATTAATGTGATAGAAAACACCATAAAGTAATCGGTATTTCCAGTTAATATTTTTTAAATGATAGTAATGAATATTCATCTAAATTAATGTGATAGAAACACCATAAAGTAATCGGTATTTTCAGTTAATATTTTTTAATTGAACAATTTTTCATAAATATTATTAATATATATACATATTAATATAATATATATATATTATTTATTTATAAAAAATTAATCATTCAATACAAAATATTACTTTTTTATATTACCAACGTAATTTTCCATATTACACAAAAATTCATATAAAAACGTTAGAGTGAACAAACTGAATTTATATGTTTATAGATAATTTAAAAATATTTATCAATTATGATTGTTGTTAAAGTGAGATTGTTGTGGATCTCGCGGTGAATGAAACAGGAATAAAGACGAATTGTTTTCTCATTTCGTATTCTCCATTGAAGACATGAAACAGGAATAAAGACGAATTGTTTTCTCATTTTGTATTCTCCATTGAAGACAGGAAGTTTGCTTTGTTTTTCTTTAAACACATTCAGTGCATTGATTGTTTGTGTTTGATTGATAAAATTCAGATTATGAAGTTAGCCTTAATGTTTAATCATTTTTAATTTCGATTCGGTTTTAGATTAATTTGGTTTTATTCGAATTTTGCTTCCGCTATTATTAATTCATTGTCGTATTTTGTATACAAGGTTTGTTCGATAAATCCAAATATCCGGGAATAAATAAACACAACAGTGGTATCAGAGCCCGGCAACCGATTCCGAAATTGAAAGAAATATTTGGTTCGAGTTTGGTAAGACTCGATCCGTGGTAAAAGGCTAAACCCTCAACTCTTTAATTTCGGTATATTTTTATCTTGGTGAATCTTAGTGATATTGTTGTTAGATAATATCTTGAATTTCTTTATGTTGGTTGCCTATGCATTTCTTGGTGTTTGAATGGCTATATGTTTCTTGGTGATTAGATTAGTGTATAATTTTGAAGTTGATTGTTATTTCCTTGTACTTTTCCTTGGTGATATTTCTTGGGAGTTTTTTGTTCCTTAATTATATTCTTGTTATGTTTCTTGAATTATGTTGATAGCCTTGTGAAGTTTTTGTGCTAGCCAAATTATTGGAGTAGATACATGTTTAATCTTCTTTGTGTCTTAAATATGCATGTTTTAGTTTTTCTTTGTGAGATAGAAAATTGCATGTTATGTGTTAATTGGAATATGCCTAAAAATATTGAATAATTGGAGGATAATCAAGAATAAAATTAGGTTTGTGACATTATGTGATTTCTTGGTGTTAATGCATAATTCTTGATTTGTATGCTATGTGATTAGTTTTTGTTATGTCATGTTTTGATTGATTGCTCTGTGATTATGCTCCCGGGTATTCTTAGTGGTAGTGTTCGATCGAATTAGGTACTTGTGTTTTCCTTTCCGTCTAGTCGCTTAGTGTTCTTCTAGGGTTAGCTTTGTTCCTAGTTGTTGCGTGTTCCTCTAGGTTTCGTCCTAGTTGTTTAGTGTTCTTCTAGGTTCCTAGGTTGCTGAATGTTCTTCTAGGTAGGATGTCTGAGTAGTTGTTTATCCGGAGAGCTAAGTGATAGTGGCCGATCAATCCAGGTTCTTAGGTTGTGCTTAGCCCATAGACGTGTGTGCTAGAACCGTAGAGTTTGGTGCCTAAGGTTTTCTTTGTGTCAAATGCTAAGTGTTCTCTAGTAGACGTCAAATAAGGTGGAACTTCTATTATGTGATTCTATGCCTTTTGTATTTGGCATGTGTTTGTTTTCTTTTTTGAATATGCATGTATGTTGCTCGATTGTGTAGTTTTTGTATGGACTATGTGCTAGGGTGCTATGTGATCTATCTAGGTGCATGTCAGGATCTATGTGTTCTATGTGTGATGTGTTTTATCTGCATTAACGTTTGTTCGTAGATGCAGCGAGGGACTAAAGACGATGATGAAATCCATTGGTGCTAGGTAAGTCTATATCTAGAAAATACATATTTTGGGATTTGGTTAAATCACGACCAAAATAGATGGAATATGTTGGGAATTTTGGCCGTTCGTGGCCTAACCCGACAAATCCCTCGATAATAAATGAGTTGGCCCACTCCGTAGCCCAGCCTACCGGATCAGACCAACCCTTTAATCCTAACCTAATCCATTTGCCCAAACCCACCTTACCATAAACACAATTTGTTAGGTTGTTGATTTTTGTTATAATTGTGAGTGAGTTTGTTAGGGTGAGTAAGTTTTTGATAGAAATTAGTTTGGGGGGTTTTGGGTGTAGATCCGTTTATCATCGAGCTGAGATTCACAACCGTTACAGAACCGATCGAGAGCGAGAGAAGAGAGGGCGATGTTTTTTTGGGCGACTTCCGGTGTGTGATTCCAGTGAGAGTAACCCTTTCCGATGGCCGATCCGGTGGGTGTCGAGGCTTTTGTGTGAAGTGCCGACCTCTAACTTGAGGCGTGGTTACCTCGTGCCATTCTTACACCATAGATTGAGCCGAACATCGCGTTCCTAACCCGGTAAAAGAAGATCGACAAGATCAGAAGATTGATGTTCGAAGTCGGTGCTGTTCGGGAAGCGACTGGAAATCTACCGAACTTGTGCTGTCCAGACTGGAGCTGTCGCAATCGGTTAATCACCCGGAGCTCTGATAAATAATTTCCATCAACGACAAGGACCAACGACGCAGCGATGGACGTCGGCCCCGGTCACCTTCTCCGATCGACGGGCTACGGAGTGGGCCAACTCATTTATTTATCGAAGAATTTGTTGAATTAGACCACGAACGGCCAAAATTCCCAGCAATGATTATAACACATATTTAATCAATAATTTATCATCCACAATTAATATATGAAATATGGAGTATAAGTTGTTATTAAAAAAAAAAAAAAAAACATATGGAGTTAAAGTTAATTGTTGTGAAAAGTATGCTTCTTCATTCCAAAAAAACATTTCACATTAAAAATATCTAAATTTACTTATCTTAATAACAATAATATAATTTTCTATCATTCTTTTAAATATGTATATCATATAAAAAATTAAATAAAAATATATTTTCCAACAATCTACAATCGCATATTACATATACATTATCCTCATAAAAATAATAATATTTTGAACATTCAAATGTGTCACGTAGTCAAACAAATTGTTTATTTTGTGGACCTACGAAGCCATCCCAATAATAATAATAATAGAAAGGCTACGATGCCGATGTGAGAAAAAATCAACACTAATTTTTAAATAATATGTATAAAATATAAAAATAAGTATATATTTTTATTACACACCATGTATTATTATCTCATGTGTAATTAGTAGATAATTAAGAATGTATGAGTGAAAATAAATATTATATAATATAAATAATTATAAATTAAGATTAAGATAATTAATTAATTTAATTAAATTTTTTTTAAAAAAAATTTAAAAGTTTAAAATGAGATTAAAATGTAATCATTTTTTAAAAAAGGAAAATGACATGGTACGTAAGACGGACAGAAACGGCAACGTGAACATCATATGTGGGACGGAGGAAGGGTATATTGCAGCACATATTATATAAAAATATATATTAAAAAATTAATTATTGTATATATTAACTGCAGTGTTATTATTTCATGTGTTTCATTTATTATATTATTATAAATAATGTTAAATAATAATAATAATAATAATAATAGTAGTGATAAAAAAAAATTACGAATTTAATAATCGCGTATATAAATAGAAATAAGGGGCCCACCAACAACAAAATTTCATTAACAAACCAAGCGGGAACAATTCCAGCTGAAATTACAATACGAAACCCTTCCATTGCGAATTTACCATTTTACCCCTTTCCTCATCTTTACGCTACTAATTAATAACAACAATAATAAGTTAATAATATCTTCTGTCTATCTCTTTAAACTATTCACTTCGAGCTCTGCGCATGGCCGTTTCCCTCGCCGCCGCCGGCTGCGGTGGCGCCGACCGTCGCCATCTCGGCCTCCTGCCTAAATCTCCTGTATATATCACTTTTATAAAACTTCCTCGTTCTCAGCACCAGCAGCATCGAAACAATCGCCCCGAACGCCGTCACGGCGGTGATTATCAGAAACGCCGTCCGGAAACACTCGACGCCGCCGCAATCGAGCTCCTCGCCGTGAATCCTCGTCTTCCCCGCCGCTCTGAGCTGCCTCTCCGCCTCCCTGTCGTACAAATGTCCGGTGACCCTCACGTTCAGTACGTACAGTCCCACCGGACTCGCCACCGCCCCGAAATTGTAAAGCGTCGAGTAATACTTCAGGCCGAAAAGCTCCGATATAATGGCGAACAGCAATGGCCACTGCGCGCCGAAGCAGAATCCGATGACGACGGAGGCCACGTAGAGGCCGTTCTCGACGCCGAAGGCGATCAGAACATGGCCGACGCAGGAGACGACGAGCGTTAGGGTTAGCATCATCGGACGGGGGAATTTGTACTTCTGTAAAACGTGCTCCGACAGAAATCCGGCGACGACGCGGCCGAGATAGTTCCAGATGCTTACCAGAGAGACGAACGTGCTGATGCTCTTCGCCGGATAACCTAACGACGATCCGATTTGCCCCAAATTGTCGATCGCCGTCAGCGTTCCTCCAACGCCGCAAATCGTCGCGAAGAAGAGGATCAACATGTCGACGCTGAAGAGCGCTTGTAGAATTGTGTAGTCTTCGCCCCTCTCCGGCGGCCGGAAAATGCTCTGTAAGCTCCAGCAGGAGAGTTCTTCCTTTTCCGGCGACGGTTGTTGCTGTTGTAACTGTGCGGCGGTTGTAAGTGTAACCGTTTCTGGCTTTTCAGTTATAACAACGCTCATTCTCTGCGGTTCGGTGCTGTGCAGTTCGTGTTTTTTCTTCTTACTAATTACGAGTTCTTCGTGGACGACGACGGCGACCGGAGCGAAGAGGAGGAGGACGACAGTCGCGGCGGCGACGGCGTATTCAGCTCTGGTGAAGCTGAGCTGCTTCTGTAAAACGATGACCGCCATTAAAAATCCGGCCAATCCGAGGGAGATGTAGAGGAATCGGTAGAAGACTTTGAGTTCGTGTTCGATTCGGACGACTCTGATGATCCGAATCGTGCGGAGGAAGACGATGGAGATGACCGCCGGCATCCACCCGATCAGAAGAATCAGAGCTTTCGGATTGTCGCCATAGACGGCGTTGTAGACCTGCGTGATGATGGCGCCGCTGAGGCCGACGAAGCCTTTGAGCAAGCCGAGGACGGCGCCGCGGCTCTCCGGGAAGTTCTTGACGGCGGTGACGAGCGCGCCGGTGTTGGCGAAGGACTGCGAGTTCGCGCCGACGCAGATGTAGGCGCACATGTGCCAGACCGCCGGCCGGGAGATTTTCCGGGAGACGGCGAGCCAGATCATGAGGTAGCCGAAGAAGTTGAGGACGGCGCCGATGACGAGCACCACCCACGGCGGCGTGATCTCGTTGATGAGGCCGGAGAGGATTCCGACGTTGGAGCCGAGGTCTTTGAAGAAGCTGAGCAGATTCAGAGTCGTCTGGTCGTAGCCGAGGGACTTTTTGATCGTCGACGAGTAGAGGCCGAACATGTACGTCGCGCCGGCGGCGGACATGATCAGAGTGGTGGCGAACACCATGAACCACCGCCCGGTGATGACCTGGACGGCGAATGATTTACTGGCGGCGCCGCCGCCGCCGCCGGTGACGGCGACCATTTCTGCAGTTGCGGTGTGAGTGTTTTTTTATTTGTGTTTTTTTTTTTTTTTTTTTCTTTGAATTTTATTTTTGGCGATTTATGAAGTTTGTATATATGCCGACATTTATTGCATATAGACGACTGAATTTATAGCAATACTGATAGAGCGGGTGGGATACTCGCTCAGTCCACGTGGTGATATATTATTGGTTGAAGACTTTATGGTTGACTATAGTGCAATAGGGGGAGAGCGATACAGAGAGGAGTTCCTCGAAGCCACGTTGAAAATGACATATGGGTATTATTCTTATTTGTGAAATTACTCAAACGCCCTTTCCTATTTTGTTTTAGAAATCATGTTAGGTTTTGTTTGCACTTTAATATATATATATTTTTTTCCATAATGTAGAAATTGGTGGCCGCTATTTGCCGAGTACATTCTGGTAAATCTCTGGTCGAACCTAATACTTTACAAATTAAGCATGACAATGCAAGTCACACTAATGTAAACTATATGTAATTGGTGGACCTGAAAACATTGAAATTTTGTTTGCACTTTAACGTTTTGATACTATTTAATGTATTTAAAAAGTATAATATTATAAAAAAAATAAAATCACAAAATATAATTAATACTAAATTTATATTATTTATTAAAAAAAAAATATTTAATTTCAAAACTCTCAAAATCTCGAGCCTTTCATTTTCCATTTAAGTTGTCCGAACTAAATAAACTCCTGCGATATTTGTTGTTATTACATATGTGCATAATATTGTAATTTCCTAAAACTCACCTAACTAATTTTAACAAAAAAACAATAAAAATGTTAATTCAAAGCCTCTCTATTTCTACAAAATAATATTGTCAAACCCTACCAAATTATTCATTTCAATTCAGAGAAATGTTACCATTTTTCAAAATATATTTCAATAGTTTGTCATCCATATTTATATTTATCAAATTTGAATTTTGTTATTATAGAATTTGTTAGTAGTATTTAGTGTGGTATGAAATTTAATCGAGAGCAAAGAAATGTCCATCTTGAATTATATTATAATACAAGTTAAAAGATACAAAGTAAATGCTAATATAAGCTAATCATTTTTGTTTTGATTAAGATTCAATCAGCACCGTCTGACAACAAACAAATTTAATTATATTTGTCGCTATATAATTTGAATTAATATAATATTTTCTAAATATACAGTGATGGAATTAGCTTTGAAACTTCATAGGGTGAAACATCGGTTTATTTCTATCGACTTAATGTTGCTTTTTTTTTTTATTACTTATTTTTCTTGTTACAATTTGGTAAAGAGAAAAAATGGGAAAAAAAAACTAAGTTAAGTTCTTGAAAAAAAAAAAAAATTAACAAACTACATAAAACTTGATATTATTATTATTATTTACCTAAAAATATATGGTTTCTTGCACTAAAAATAAAAAATAAAAATTGGAGGGCAAATCAATAAAAAAAAATATACATACTATCTTTTATGGATTATCATATATTTTCAATCAATATCTTGTACTTATTTTCTTTAAAATATACTTTGTTCACACCTGCGTTTTTAGATGAAATGATTTCTAGTGTATAGTATGAAGAATTGTGTCAAAAATATAAAATATATTATTTTATATTGAGTATTTGATTTTCTGAGTTTTTGTAATGATTCTTTGACTTTTTATAACGAGTATTTTGACTTTTTGACTCCCTTTGTCTCTTAACAATCTATTCATTTTTCCATTTTTGTATGTCCATAACAAAATATTAATTTTCTTTTTTAGTAACTGTACTATCTACCGAACATTACAAATACTCTTTCAATTTACAATATATTACACAAATATCATTACTTTTATATCATACAATACTAATAAGGGTATTTTAGTCTTTTTTATCTTTATTTTTACTACATCCCAATATAATACTAATATTTTTAAAACTCCGTGTAAAAAGTAAATGGATAGATAGATATGAGACTGAGAGAGTAGTAAATACCCTAATTAAAAGTAATGGTCATGGTCATTGTAGAAGACAAATAACTACACAAAATACCAATTTTACACTCAATATTCATATTAGACTTCATAAAGGGGTCGAATAATTAGGGTGTTACTACTCCTCCGTTCAATAAAATTAGTCCTATTTGGGCTCGACACGAAAATTAAAAAGGATTAATATTTTGTTAAAAAAATGATAGGTAATTGAAGGTATTTTTGAAAATTTAGTTAAAAATAAAATAAATAAATAGATAATGTAATAAAGTTAATGATATTTGTTGTAAATAAGTGTTGAATTGAGAGTAATAATTACACGTTGATTTGTTGACTTTGCCAAAATTAGTAATGAGATAAATTTAATAGACGGACTAAAAAAAAGTGAGAATAAATTTGGCAGACGGAAGAAGTAATTAATAATAATCGGCAATTTTAGTTTTGATTTCAAGTCAAGATTTTTATTATTCAGTTACATAATTTTTAATAAATTAAATAAAACGAAATCCAGAATAAACGTATATTAGTTTAATAAAAAAAAAAAGTAAAATTTTTTAAATATATATATTTAATTATTTAAGAGTGAAAAAAATTAAATAAAATATATTTTTAAAAAATCGTTAAACATTTAACTTTAAAAAAAAATAAAACTTAAAAATATACTGCCGACCATTAACCAGACAGACCCGAGTTGCAATGAAAATAAAAAATAATAATAATAATTTATAGTATGTGATTTTGTCGTGTTATGTCAACTTGTTTTGTGGCAATCCTTACCAATATTAAAATAAAAATAAAACAATTAGTGACAGCAAATCAAAGCAAAGGATGGTTGACTCGCCACAATTAAGAGGTTCCCATGTTCAGACATAGACATAGACATGTAGATTGTGTTTCTTTTGAATTTTTTCTAAGATTTTTAATACTTACATTTAAAAAAAAAAAATCAAATTAAATAATTATTTTATATTTTATACTCCCTTCGTTCACAAGATAAGTATACATATTTACTTTTGGCACGAAGACTAAAGAATAATAGTATTTTAATTATAGTAGGTAGGTAAACGTAGTGAAATGATATTTTTGCCATTACTTTTTTGGTATAAAAGTAATAATGTGATATAAAATAGGGGTATTTGTGGAAAAAAATGGGGTATTTAATGAAATAATTACTTTGTAATTGGACGTCCCAAAATAGAAACATGTATACTTTCTAGCTGGACGGAGGGAGTATTATATTAAAATTTAATTTTATATTCAGAACATTATATCAATATATATTTATATCCACATCAAATAACCATTTAAATTCAACCTTATACTCTTTAAAAAATCCAAACAAAAAAAAAATTCATAGCAAAAACAACCATATTTGTTGTCTTAGTGATTTTGGGGAATAATTTTTTATAAATACTACTCATTCCGTCTCACTTACTGTGTCCATATTGCCATTTTTGTCCGTCTCACATCTCATGTCACTTTCCTTTTTTGGAAAATGATTATACACTTTAATTTCATTTTAATTTTTTTTTATTTTATAATTTTTAAAATTTTAATTAGACTAATTAGTTATCTTAATATTAATTTATAATTATTTATATTATAGAATAATTATTTTTTCTAATATATTCTTAATTATCTACTAATTATACTTATTCTAAATTCTCGTGTCTACAGTGACACGGTACATGGGACGGAAGAGTACTAAAAAATTACCATATATTCTTTCCATCCGTCGGCAAATGTTATATTTACATTTTGTACGTTAATTTTTTAATATAAATTATTATATCAAAATATAGTATAAATCAAAGAATAATAAAAAAATTATTTATATTAATGTTTTATAATGCTAAAATAGTGACATTTATATAAAAAAAATTATACAAATATAAAAATATTTTTAATACAAAAAATTAATATTTTAATACAAAAATTAATTTTTATATTATTAATACAATTTTAGATATTTAATTTTAAAAAATATATTAATTCAAAAATATAAAATGAATAAACTCATAGTAGACCAACTTATTTGAATTTCAATATTTATTGGGCACACTAAACCAAAACCATCCACCTATTTGTATCATTTTACTACTATTAAATTTCAATTGGATCTTCACAATGATTTGATTTGATTTTATTCTATTTATTGCTTGGATGATTCGGATTTATTATATTTGATATTTTAAAGTTTGGAAAATACTAAAAAATTCAAAATAAAATAATTATTTGATATTATTTTCATTCACTTTATACATTGATATATATATATATAAAAGCACAGATCATGTGCTGATATGAAAATTAATTTCAACATTTAGGTTGTGTTTGGTACAGAGAAATAAGGTTAGAGAAATGGAAATTGCTTCAATTTTCTTGTTTGTTTATGTCAGAGAAATGAAACTTGAGAAATAAATAATTTTCATTTTTCATTTCTCTCCCATATATAGAGAAATGGAGAGAAATAACGTGGCAGCATATTTTTTTTAATTATTTTTTACTATTTAAATTTTTTATATATATTTTTTAAAATTATATTATTTCAATTTTACAAAAATTAAATTAAATTTATTATTAAAATATTTAATTTTTACGATCTTTTAAGAAATTGTACTAAAATATAATCTTAAAAAATATCGTATATAATTATAATTTTTTTTAAAAAAAATCACCAAAAATATTTTTCATTAATTCTCATTCGTTAAAAATTTTTTTTTATCCGATTAATCATTTATTCATGTTTGATCATTTATATAGCTATATGTTTTTTTATATTTCTCAACTGAATTCTTTGTTTTACCAAACAAGAGAATTAATTCTCATTCTTGCTCAATTCCATTTCTTTCCAATTCCATTTTCTACTCTCATTTCTCTGCAATTTCATTCTCTCTGCCAAACGTTACAGAATTAATTACAACTATTATTTAATAGATAATAATTAAGTAAATTATGAATTTTCTTTTTTTTTTTTTTTAATCAAGGGTAAAGATGAAGTTTCAGTATGTTGAATTTACTAGTTTAGCATACAATCCATGTTGAATCAAATAGGTTCTTTAGACTTTTTTTTTTTTTTTTTTTAAGTAAATTAAAAAATAATAATATTTTATT